GTCTCCAAACTTTTTTGACCACTCATTCCCATCAGTATGTTTTTTTGGAGGCAGTTCTTAATCAAAGATACGCATATTTATTTATAAAGTATAGACATACGCTTCCATTTATAACTCAGCCACAATATACGCTTAGGGTGAAATTCATTGTTAATGACAGTGGATATAAATCCTCATTCACATAATCTCCTTGATGAATTTAACATTTTTTTTTAAAGCCAAAATTTGGTTGGATTTGTTAGATTGTTATTTTAACTTTGAAATGTGTCTGTCGAAGATCTGGTACTAGAAATTGCAGTTCTGCCATTTGCTTGTTTTCCTGTGGTTTCTTAGCAAAGGATTCTTCTAAAGTTGTCTATTTTCTACCGGTTTAATTAAACCTAGATAATATCATCAGTAAATCCACTTAGTCGGAATCTAGCAAATTATAAGAAGTCACTACAAGATGACAGGGACTGACTGGACGGGACCACCACTGCCCACCGTTGGAAATGGGTAACTTCCACTCTTCTTTGAGGAAATCTCCTATGTTGTTCTAGGCCAAGAGAAGATTCCATGGTCAGAGTGCAGGTTCCCTTATTCTGTACATAAAATATTAATTGATCTTAATGACTTTAGTTTTCAATTAGAATTAAGCATAAGCAGATGTCCTCATATTTTATTCTTCTGCATTCCAAATGGATTGCCTCGCCCTATTCCTGAAATATATACACCCCTGGCTTATGTGGACCCCTTTAGAAAATATTGTCCAAGGAACAATTTCTCACATAGGCAAGGATGTTCCCACTTTAAAAGACCTGCTCATTTCAGTTACCCAGCCATTTTATAGAAAATGAGTTTTGAAATGAATTCTTTATAGAGATCCATAATTTTCAAGCTAAATCTCCACTCTACAAAATGTGAAATGTTCTAAGCAGCAGCTGTGAGCATTTCCAACGTGCACTACTCCTTGACGGTCCAACTGTTGCCAAGGGAAATGGAGTTGGCTTTAAAATCTTCCTTGGTTTTAATTCTGCCTTTCCCTCAATCAGAGAGCAAACGGGCTCTGCATGGCTGGAACACTCAACTTTTCATGAAGACTGGCATGTGAAATTCAGATGTAGAAATGCAGTTTCTTGAGGGTTGGAAGAAGAATGGTATTCCAGCCAGTTTTATAAAGCCTAGTGGTGGACTTTTAGAGCAAAAAAATGGGCACTATCTATACAGTGGCAAATCATCTGGAGTCAGTAGGGGGAACCGCTTCTACCAAGACGCCATTTTTTCCTGTTTCCCATTTCAGTTCAAAACCACATTTTTTTTTTTTTTTAAATCTTTCATGGCACAAAATTTTTTTCCACTCAAGATCCGTCCCTGAGAGTGTGAATAAAAATTTGCAACACCTGAGTGTTAACACAAACAAGAAATGCAATGCATTTTGTTTTTGTTACTTGTACATATGGTACCTAGTTTTATTTCTTAACTGTATAGAAAACATGATAAAATGCCGACGGGGAAAAACTAGGCTCCAAAACAACACACACAAAATTAAAAGAAAAAAATACCGGAGGGAAGTACATCAAAATGCTAACAGTATCTAAGTTAAATTTTTTCCCACAAGTTTTTAATAATTGATCTGATATTTGTAGTTAAGCATTAAGAATTTTCTTCCCTCTCAACCGTCCCCCGCACCCCCCCCCCCCCCCCCCAATAAAGATGTACCTAGCGTGCATTCAGATAGAGTGACAGTCCCAATAATTCTCTGGAATTGCATCACTTGGGTTTGAGCTCACCAAAGATGCAAACACTTCCCTAAATATTTTATTACTTCATCTAGCTAGAGTTGAGTGAAGTCTTCTCCATAAACTCTTCTGGATCCAACTTGCCAATTAAAATCTCGCAAGCTCCTAGAGTCTGGAGCTGGGATGCCCCGAGCTCTGTGCAGCGGGAGGGCCCAGGTAGTTGATCGGGATAAATGATTGCAGAGCACAGAGACAGCACTCCCACCTGCATGAGCTACACTGAACTGGCCTCTATCAAGGCTTGCAGGAGTTTCAGGGAGCTGACATTCAAAACAGAGGTTTAGGGAAAAGAAGACGGGGTGAGACAGATTTCGAAGCAATACCCAACCCTTGGCCCAGGCCCAGAGGTTCAGATTTCGGTGCCAGGTCCCACAAGGTTCAGCCGAGAGCGACTGCTGGGGGTTTCACAGAGGGCTGCAAGGGGCCCATTTACAACAACAGTGGCGCACAGGAGCGGGCAGGAGATCTTATTTTCTTCTCCGCTTATTTCAGCGCTGGTTCCCGTCCTAAGTGGGGGTCCTCCACCCCAGCCCAGAAGGACCACCCTAGGCGCTGAAGGGCGCGGATTCCAGGCCCCGGGTTCCCCCACCCTTAGCCGACCCTTGCCCTTGGACTCCTCTGCTTGAAGTCGACCGCCGCCCAGAGAAGCCGCATTGCGTGGAACCCCCTCCCCCCCACCCCCAACCCATTGATCTATCAGTCGCACACCTCCCGGCTTTTCAGGAGCTCCGCACAGGCCTAGCGGCTGTCGTACCCCCCTACTTCACCCTACTCAACCGCCTAGCGGAAGCCGCAG